GTATTGTTATAGTAATAAAGTATCATAGTACCATAGGACACTAGTACCACAGTGAAATAGTACTACAGTCAGCTCCGGCCTAGTCTGAATTCTGTCCAGGCCTCGAGCTCGAGAAGACGGCCTGCAGCCTGGGGGAATTCTGATCACGAAGGGCTCCTTCACGACGGATTTTGCGGAACACTTTGCATTGCCGAGCTCTGGAAGCTTCAAGTGGCAGCAGTTGTGACAGCTATGTTTTGGAGTTTGCGTGGAGGGGACTTGTTCGGGCGAAGAATACGGCAGAGACTCAAAATATGGGGGTCGGAATATTTGGTAGTAGCGTTCCCTTGTGGTCCCCTAGCTCCTTATGTAGGCCCTGTATTACAGGTTGAAGGGGCACGTTGAATTGAGAGGATGCGGCAGAGACTAGCTTCAACTACAACCTGAGAGTGGCTTCCTTTTGGCACACCCCACGCTTCCCCCACCAGGATTTGATTAAATCCGTGGATCCGAGCCCTATAAGCCCCAGTGACATGCCTCGCCTGGATTGTGCGAGGTGAGAGCGCCCAAACCCGCAACTTACTCAACCTGTGAGAGTCGAAACTTGGTGCGCTCACAACCCTAAACCCTAAACCCTAACTGTGGGCCGTAAAAGGAGCGTGTCAAAAAAAGCCCTAAACCCTAAACCCTAAAGTGGAGCTTTGCCTGCCTTGCGCGAGTGTGAGCGTCGAAACCGCAAAGGCGAGCACTTTTTTTTTTTGGTTGCTGACCGTCCCAGGAGGCCGAGCGCTTGCGAGCAGAAGTCGCGAGCCAGGGGCTCAATTAGACGCTGACTCTTGGGGCGTATGTATAGCCTAAAGCATACTAATCGGGTACACTTATGCAGGAAAGTCCACACAGTTTACAAACTATAGATAAGCAACTAATCAGATAAGCGCGTATGTGCGTATATATAAATAGTACACACACGCACACATGTAGCTACATGTATGTATGTAGCGCACAGTACTGTACTGTGTTGCACTGTATTGTATGTATGTATGTCTGTATGCATGCACGTATGTTTGTTTGCTGCTTGTTTGTTTTGTATGTATGTATGTATGTATGTATGTATGTATGTATGTATGTATGTATTCATGCATGCACGTATGTTTGTTTGCTTGCTTGTTTGTTTTGTATGTATGTATGTATGTATGGATGCACGTATGTTTGCTTGCTTGCTTGCTTGCTTGTATTTTCTGTATGTATGTATGTATGTATGTATGCACGTATGTTTGGTTGCTTGCTTGTTTGTTTTTCTGTATGTATGTATGCATGCATGCATGTATGCACGTATGTTTGTTTGCTTGCTTGCTTGCTTGTTTTTTTCCGTATGTATGTATGTATGTATTCATGCACGTATGTTTGTTTGCTTGCTTGATTGCTTTTTCAAATTTTCTGTATGTATGTATGTATGTATGTATGCACGTATGTTTGTGTGCTTGCTTGTTTGTTTTTCTGTATGTATGCATGTATGCACGTACGCTTGTTTGCTTGCTTGTTTTTCCTGTATGTATGTATGTATGTATGCATGCATATATACATAAACATCTTTCTTTCCTAGTAGCGTTGCCACGTGAGTTTGGCCCCCAGTCCGCAGACGCCGCCCGAAGTCTTACTGGTAAGTCCTTAGCGCCCCGGAGCTGTACCGGATGCTTAGCATGAATGTTGAGATTAGACCTTCGTGCTTGCACATAGGTGAACGCTAGTCCAGGACCAAACCACGGAATGAATGTTTCTGCATCCTGCGTGGGCTCGGAGATTAGATATCTTTGCTTGGGCCTCTCTGGCAGTCTGCGCGTCGAAACCTGTGCATCTTGGCTTGGCACAATCCTTCCCCTTTGGTGCAGGGTGCAGGCGCCTGGTGCGCACTACCACTGAGCGCTAAAGCAGCTGCAGCACCCGGAGCCTGTAAAGAAAGATTGCCAGTCGAGAATAGCACTAGCCAGAGGAATCCGTGAAAGCGCGTGGCTAACTGGCAAGTGGCTGCAGTGGCTGCGTTTTGAAGGTAGCGGATGTACCTCATACACCGCTGTCTGCATGCATCGCAAAGGAAGATCAATGCCGTTCCATGAGCCTCGTCTCGCTCCTCTGAAGCAGCCACTCGGCTTTGGGCGCACTGTCTCTGACGAGGTCTGGCACGGTTCCGTTTCATGACCAGTTTGCCGTTGTGCGTAACTTACCAAGTTTCGGTATTCCACACAAACAAAAACTAAATCTGCAGTCCGCAAAGCACCTGCTCCGGAAAACAGCGCAGCACTCGTCAGTATGAAAACTGACCTGAGCATTTTGGTCGTTGCAGCCCTGGACCCGACTCCTAGTCCCCAAGCCTCATCCTCTTACCTTTGGTTAGTAGGGAATGGAGGAATGGGGTACACTTATAACTACTATTACTACCATTCTTCCATTCCCCACTAAGCAAAGGTAAGTCCTCTTGAAGTTTGAGCTCCAGCTCCAGCCTTTCCCTGTTCCAAGGATCTTCTTGCATTTCGCAGTCGCTTCTATGCAATTCGAAGTTAGAGTTGTCTCAGGGCTGTATATCTATCTGTATATATATATATATGTGTATAAATACAAGATTTATGCATAATAAAAACTGTAGTCTCAGGGTTTCAGTCTATAGACATGACGGGGTCCCAAGATGAACCATGGATGTGCATTCGATACTACAGGCTGCAGGTGTTGTCCTTCACGGGTCCGCCGGTTCACAGCCCGACTGTTGATTACAGTGGCTCCTGATCCTAATCCTTTCTATCCTACTACGACGACTACGATTACTACTACTGCTACTAACACTAATAATAACAATCATACTACAACTAATACGAGCATCAATACTAGTACGAATACTAATACTACAGACTAATACTAGTGCTAAATACCAATACTAATACTAGTACTAATACCATGTTGCCAATACCGATTCAAGCAATGATTCTTCTTCTTATTGCTATGATTACGGTTGCTGTTACTATTACTGCTACCATTTGTTTGATCTGCGTGGGAGTCTGCCATAATACAATACAATGTCACTACTATTGAAGTTACGCTTGTTATTAATTATTATCATTATTGTTGAACTGCGTGGGAGTCTGCTGCAGATCTTTCTGAGCAAGCCATGTCAATCTCGAAAACCTAGCAGCGCCAATAATTCCCAAGGCTAGTTCGGGGGGTCCTTATTATAACTTTATTACAATATGCCCGACTGTTTTAAAGGCCCCTACAGTAGTGTAGTACGACGTGCCTAACTGTCTCCCACGTGCGTGTATTGGCTTCTGTGCCCACCTCCTGGTGTGTAGGCTGTCAGCATGGAGGAACAGAACAGTGCACATCATGCACATCTTTCGAAAGTCTAGCCATCTACCTATCCATCCGTCGGGTTGTGCACGCGCACACACACACACACAGTACACATCCTTGCGAGATTTATCCAGACTCTCAGTGCACGTGTCGCCGAGGAACCCAAAGCCAGCAACTTGCGTCGATCCAACAGTTTTTCAGGGTATGTGCCCTTTTCTTTGAATGGCACAGCCGCGCAGCATCTCGGCGTGGAGGAGTTTCTGAAACCTTGCGGTCTTCTCTTGGTCCGGCAGGGTGGTTAGTTGTCGGATCCTACACAGGGGTTTCCCATTTTACGCCCTTCGTTGGCCGTTCCCCGGCAAGACTTCAAGAGGCCTGGATGCAAAAAGGCCCTTCGTTGCTTTGGGATTCGCAGGGATCCCGCATCTTGTCGCGTCCATAAGCGCACCTATGAACCATGTAGCCGCAATGTAGCCATGTGCCGTGACTTTGCTGTGGTTCCACTGAGAGACTGAAAAAGTTCTATGTCCAATGTGTAAGCCCAAAACCCTAGGAGAAATATCCTAAACCCTGAACCCCAAACCACAAACCACAGCTACCGAACATACCCTGCACTGTGGGCCTCATCCTTGCTAGGTAGGAGAGAAAAATGCCCAAAGCCCGAAACCCTGAAAACCCTCCAACCCTGGAAACCCTAAAACCTAAAACCCTCAACCCTAAACCCTATAATCCTAAACCCTATATCCTAAAATCCTAAACCCTAAACTCCAACCCTGGACTCCGAGCTCAGGCATGGTGGCCCTTCAGAGCTCGGGATGTCTGCATTTCTGGAGGCAGCTCAGCCGACGAAGCCCGGCCGGAACCATGCTTCCTAGTTCGGGCATCTTGCCAACTAATGTAGCACAATACCTTATTACCTTATAGGTTTAAGGCTTAGGGGGTTTATAATATGCAGCAGATTTCCACGATATAATCGAATGTATTTTCTAATGTAGAAATAGTATCCTATAGTGTAATATACCACCACATGATAAGAATAGCATAGCATCATACAGGTGGTAGATCAGGTTTCTTGGCAGGGCAAGGTGGACCCTGCGTGGAGATTTTTTCCGTCCCTCAGATTTGTTGAGGTCCCGACCGCTCAGGCAGGCTCAGGAAGACATCGTGCAAACTGCTCGGGCATCTGAGTCCGTGCATCTGCAAGTGATAGAGTGCGGCGCCAGTAGCGTGGCAGCAGCGCTAAACCCTAAACCAAAACCCTAAAAGTAGTGAAGCCACGGCAAAGGCGCCATGCTGACTACCCCGACGCCGACTCGACGCCCCACTGGCCGGATACAGATGATGAGAGCGAGTCCTGGGACGGTGAGCTGACCTGCACAGAAGTGAGAATACCCTTCGCGTGGAGATGAATGCTCCAGATGTTTCACTATGTGTATGATGCCTTGGATGTATGGCCTTTATAGAGCTGAGCGGATTTAGCCGGAGCACTTACTCACCATAGCACAACAGGAGCTGCACTGACGAGTTTCACATTGGAACTTGAAGTGCGACTGATTTTGATAGACGGTGATATTCTGGTGATTCCACTCTGTTGGGTCGGAGCAAGCAGCGAGTCAATAAGCTTTCCGCCATCTCAGCAACTTCCAGACCCCAGATTGTTCTTCGGCCCAGGCGATGTGCAGATGAAGCAGGTTGATTCTGACGGGATGTCAACGAGCAGCCAGGTGCTGTCTAGTCTTAGTGACTACCTCTAGGCGAAATGCAGTGTTGTGCTCTGCCTGCTGACCGTCCTTGTCACACTTCAGTTCGTTAGAAGACGCACCCATAAATTCGGCATCAACAGGCAACAGGCGAAAGCTTGCGCTTGATTCGGACCCCTGCAGTCTAGTGTAGGAGTGTTAGAGGCTGGCGAAGGTGGGACAGGAGCACGACTAGTCTGCACAACGTTTCATGTCCGAGCTTGTCATATCTTCGAGTTGGACCGCAAGGCTTTTCAGCCGTCAGCCAATTCGAAATCTAAGGCACCGAACAAACAACGCCTTTGCGGCTGAGCTTGACTGCTCTGCTTCCCAGCGCTGAAGTCCAAAGCATCTTGCCTCATCATTGAGCCTGCAATCGTGCAAGCCCCGCAATTCTCAGTTGGCCCTTCGTGACTGGAGCTACTGTGTGGATTGCTATACCAAAGAACCAATTCCAAGTATGGTAAGTGCAGCTCCTCGTTGCCGTTACCTCGCGCTTTCCCGTTTAAGCTCACACTATTGCATGCGAAGGTTGCATGTAGCTGCCCCTGCACAGGCTGTCGCAGAAGCCGAAGTGAGAGCAAGGAAAGCCAGGCACTGGGCGGCTTGCCGATGTCTGTGCCTGCGCAGCACGTAGTGCAGGGAAACTCGGAGGGACATGGGAGACTGAGTCCCTTCCTACTACAGAAGTGCAGCATGTTGCCCATAATTATGTAGGGTTCATTGTTTTTCACTTAGGGGATACGGTTCGTAGCGGACACTATCAGGTTGCAAAGCCTTTCCAGGCCCACGAGGGGTTCGATAGATTGGTCCTTCTATGTTCGTGATGATCGTAGGTGTCCCAAGCCTGCTACGTCAAGGGATCTTACGACAGGCGCAGTCCAAACCATGAAGCCTTGCTCAGTTCTGGGATGCAGGTGATCAGTGTGTGCGGCTCCGACCCTCTGGACCACTCCGACAGCGAGGGCAGCAAACCAGAGCCACCTGCAGAAACTGGCAGTTCTGCTTGGGCATCGTTGAGACGATCGTTGACGCAGGAGGCTCCTGAGGTTGCTGGAGGAGACACTCGCGATGACCCTGCCGTACTACGTAGTACCACTTACGACAACAACGGCGACCACGTTTGCTCGTAGGATTACTTCTCGTATATGCAGAGCCATTTTGAGTGTGTTCTTCCTCAGTTTCGCCACGACTTGCATAATTTCAACTGCCAGAATAAGGAAAACAGGTTATTCACTAAGGAAACCCAAGTATGCATTAACGACCACACCGTTTGGTAAACAAGCCGTACTGTGTTATTTACTATAGTACAGGTGCCTTAATAAATACCAATAAAATTTGGGGTCCCTTAGTATAACTGTAGTATAATGGGCCCCGAAAGCCTATCATAAATTATTAAGGCCCCTATTAGCCCGCATGCCAGCGTGCTGGAATCCGAGGCCGCAGTCCCAGCCCTACACCGGAGTTTCGACGCCTTACGTTGGCCACCAGTCTGAATTGAGTAGTAGCAGCTGTGGTGGTAGTAGTGGTAGTAGTCGTCGTGGCGGCCGAAGTAGTCGGAGTAGTCGTAGTAGTAGGAGTAGTAGTAGCAGCAGCAGCAGGAGTAGTAGTAGTAGTAGTCGTGGTGGTGGTGGTGGTGGTGGTGGTGGTAGTCGTGGTGGTGGTGGTGGTGGTGGTGGTGGTGGTGGTGGTGGTGGTGGTGGTGGTGGTGGTGGTAGTCGTCGTCGTGGTGGTGGTGGTGGTGGTGGTAGTAGTAGTAGTAGTAGTAGTAGTAGTAGTGGAAGTAGTGGCAGTAGCGGGAGCAGCAGCAGTAGTAGTAGTGGAGTTTTTTGTGGGAAGCCATGTGCAGGGCACATGTGATTACTTTGAACAGCGTCCTCTTTTCTGCCCGTTGGAGGTTGATCAAGCTCGAAGCATCCGCGTGCTAGATCTCCGGGATCCAGAAGCCGGGGCAGTCGTAAGGGTGTGTGGCTTCTCCTTGGAAGTCCTGTGCAGTCTTCTGTTGGGCATAGATGTTCCGTGCAGCGAAAGCACAGAGCCGGAGTGGTGTCTCATCACGAATTTTTTGCGTGTGACGCAGAGAGAGGGGGAGAGGAAGAGAGACATGAAGATCTGTGTGCTGGAAAGTAACTGGAAATTTGAAGCCTGGGGACTTCTGGTTGAGGTCAGAGCCAATCTCGCAAGGCAGCTCGCCACATCCCAAAGGCACAGCCGGGGCGACGGTTTTCGGTTGACCATGGTTGACCTGGGACTCGTCGAATAGCAGTCCTCTTTTATTCCCTCCGGAGAGCATCTCGAAAAAGTCGTTGACGGCATGGTCCAGGCACTTGCTCATGGCGCCTTATACAGTAGATAACCATGCACTGTGACCTCCAACCTTCTGCAAATGTTAGTTCTGAAGGTGCGAAGCGTCAAGGCTGCTGGACAGCTGGTGCCAGGACCACTGGCAGCTCCCATGAGGTGTGTACCGAAAGACTTTGTCCTGCAAGCATCTGCACCTCTATTCAAGCTATTGGTATAGTATCATAGAGTTGATTTTCGATCCGACGTATGTTCATGCAGCTCGTCTGTGCAGACTAGATAATTTTGCCTGTTGTCACGACATATTCATATGATCCTCATCGTGGCACATACCTTTGATAGATTTCCGAGCGTAAGACAGAGAGTTTATCGGCTGGCAATGCTTTTCGGAGCTTAATTTCGCGATGGATGCTTTGAAAAGGACCCTGCTCGAAACAGCCGTGCGCGCCGGGATGCGTCCCAAAGCAAGGAGGCGGGGACGTGCCAGGATGCGAGGCCTAACCCGCTTACTCTTCCACTCCGGCTTCTCTGATTGCTCGAAGCAGTATTCCTCGAGCAACTTAGTCAGGTGGTTCGGTTTTGCTAGAGCACGTACAGAGGAAGTTCGGTCCTTGAACAACCGTTTACGGTCAGTATGTACATAAGAAGCAATAGCCAACTGCATCATCCAGCATGATGGCATGCTGCCGCGGCATTATGTCGTGTGCAGGTGGGGGTGCTGCCGGACACTCGCCCGTGATCTGTTCGCCTGCTCCAACTCTGGCCACTTGGTCGGGGTGTTTATCTCTGGTGGGGAGTCGTCTGAAAGATTCGCGACCATCCGCGCATAACAAGAATTCCAATCGCTCAAGGTGGATAGTCGGGAACGGATACTAATTGTCATATGACGGATTTGATGGGTACCGGAAAGCTCCACAATGTTTCACTGATAAAGGCGATCCAATCTGCCATCCGAGGACAAGAAAGCCAAGAACTCGAAGAAGACGGTTGGAGCTCCCCCTACTCGCAAGGGTCCAGAGCCTTTGGCCCAGGCCATGAAAACGGCAGCGCCACTTGACAAAAAACATCCTCGGGTTTCTATTGCCGAGACCAAAAATGCTTGAGGGACAGAAGCATAGAGTGATTCAGGCTGCCGATTTACACAGACGTTTTGAGATCGGAGGTTTGGAAGATCAACATACTGCCAGGCTATATGAGGTTACACAGTCTAGACTAGACCATAAACTATGTCACCCTGCCGAACTGGTGCTCGAACCTCGACTGGCCTGCAGGAAAGTGAGTGCCGGAACTGGGCCGATGGACAAATTAAGCCGCAGTCCTGTATGGCGAAGTTAGGCAGCGATAGTGCGAACACATACACCGACTGGCCCGCCGCCCCCAATGACCAGCCTGTGTTCCATGTGCACTCGAACTTGCTAAAGTCATTCATCCACTTTACTAGTGCACCAGCGCTGGTATCACTCACTGCCGCTGTCGCTGCCATCACCACACGCCGGGAACGGTCAAAGCTGTCAACACATCCTGCCAACAGTGCTACCGTCGTTTTGGCTCTCACTTCAATGTTTTCGTGCTAATGGTTGTGTTCTATTTTCGTAGTGGTGGCGGCGCTGGTGGAGGCACTGGTGCTGGTGGTGGTGGAGGTGGTTGGGTTGTGACCACTCGATTTTTTTTGGTTTCCCGTTGGTTACGGTCAGGGGGGGTGCCTGATCACCCCAGGTCATGCCGGTCGCGTTTCATACTGCCACAAAGATACGGACACTTTAGACCCCAGCCAATCTGCCTTTAGTCGGCCCAGGATCGCGCTGCAGAAGGCCCGCACCATGACTGGCACTGGAGCATACGGCGGTAGATTATTTGCATGATGATGCAATAGGAATATCCAGTAAAGTCGCCTTTGTCGTCCTTGTTGTGACCTCATAGATGCAGGTGTGTTGACGGCGGTGTTGGCACCAAGATGCACCAAGTAGGGGCAGTGTCGGCGATAGCAGCGGTAGTCGTAGGAGTAGTATTCGTATCCGGCGGGGGTGTTTCGCACAGTAGCGTTTAGATTTCAGATCATGCCAGCACTGGTAGTGTCTATGGTGGTCCACAGGATCATTTTCATGGTTTGAATTCGTTTCAGGAGTGGGCGTAGTAGCAGCAGCAGTTAATTACACAGCTGAAGAAGTATGCCAGCCATCTTGGAAGCCAAGGACCCTACCCAAAGGCCCCAAAGTAGTTCCTTTTTGGGATTACCTTATAGGATTCTATATACGAACCCCAAAAAGGAACTACTTTGGGGCCTTTGGGTAAACCCTAAACCGTTCCTCCTTGCAATTGCTAGGTAGGAGGGGAAACACCGTTCCTAAGGAGCCATGATGCCTGCGGTGGACCTCCAGCCTGCACTTGCGCCACTGCTGCATCGAAGGGGTAGTTTTTTTGTTTTTTTTGGTGGGGGGGGGGGGGGGGGGTGGGATTCGTGGCTTTCCAATTAGGTGGTTGTCTGAATTAGGGTCCCTTTTTGGGCATCCTAAATGTTAGGTGCCGTATTATAATAAGGACTCAAAAAGGGAGCATAATTTTGACAACCACCCAATGCAAGTCCCCGCAAGTTTTGCTTTTGCAGCCTTCGGATTGACAAACACTTGGCACATTTTTGTCCGCTGCTTGGGTGGCTGATAGACATGTAGTTGGCGCATGTTGACCCCGACGGCCATGCACCACAGGGCTCAGAGCAAGAAGTTGCTCTTTGCCGTCCTCCTTCCACCTTCCAGGCTAACCCCCTCTTACAGTACCTTCCCATAACACCGGTTGGAAAAATACGCTGGTCCAAAAAATATTGCGACTTTCAAGAAACCGTTCCCACTCATCGGAACCATGTCCGACATCAGTATTAAACCGACATCCCCATAGCAACAGCGCTGATCCGTACCACAAGGCATGTCGAATGTGCCGTATGCAGTCCCGGGCACCGAACCCTGAACCCGATAATGGGGCGCACAGTGACAGTGAGAGTGCGACAGTACAACCGCTTCTATGTGTGCGAACGCGGTGCGCGCTGGTTTGCCGAACGCCGTTCAGGCACCCGTCTGGTCAACCGATGCTCGGCTCAGTATGGGCATTGTTCATGCCTTGTCCGGACATGGGGTTCATCACAAAGAAGTAAATGAAAGCCCTTGAACTGGCAGCGGTTTAAAACAGCCATCTTAGACTGTTCGGTGGAGTTCCCACTTAGTGCGCTCCTTTATTCGTCATGCAGCTGTTCGATTTGTGGAGGTTATGTGACCGTGCGATTGACAAGTGCGCTACTGCGAGTGTTCTTGGACTGGCAGTGGCTAGACAGTTTCAGCCAAGCTGAACGAACACCAGCATCGTATACTTATACTTGAGGAATTAGTCTCTTCCGTGGCAGGTTCCATTCCCCCGTTTGCAACTAAAGCGCTCTCTTGCCTTCCCTGGACCAAGGAATTAGAGATGTGGAATTCGTTGGCAAAGCCGAAGTATCAGTGATCCAGTCGTGGACTCGAGGTCCGGGCGACCCACCTGAGTTTTCCGATGAGGTGTAGGCACGAAGTGGGGGTTTCGGGAACAGAAAGTGCCAAGGCGCTTAGGCTCAGGAGCCAGAGCTCCTCGTAGGAGCTCGCAGCTCCCGACGCAGTGCGATGCACCTCTTCGCGACGCTCACATCTTGGTTGCCGGGCCCGAGCTGCCTTTCAGACGCAAGAGCTGCTTCTGCCGAAGTGTCGGCAGGACGTGAAGTGCCTGTCCGATTTCGTACAACACGCACCTTTTAGCATACGCTGTCCAGGAGACAAATCGGAAGTCACTCTATACGCCGGATTAGCGAAAGGTTTAGACTGACTTCACGTTCCGCAGAAGACCGTATATCTTTGATTTGGCAGGTTAGCGCAGGCCAGGAGATTTAGGATTGATTTAGGTGTCTGGGAGTCCAGGGTTTACCGTCGATATGTGTCGTACTACTGAGACAGGGTCATGAGGTTTGACACCGGCTGTCTCCTTCCACAACCACTGGCTAAAGTGGCAGCTCGCGTTTGAAGGCGCGGCGAGATTGCCGCGCGACTGGGCACCCGTCGGATGAATTCGAAACACAACTGGTTCTTCTGTCCTGGAGTTACAAGCATTTGGGATGTTCACACCTGGATTTCAAGATGTACTGATTGCGGAGTTCTGGACTCGTCATGGGCTGTGCTTGCCTTCTGCCTGTTCAGTCAGTCCTACTAATGTGGGTCACGTCTTTTCAGTTGTGTGTTGATTCAGATATTACAATATAAATATATGTATACTATGATATTATTACTATATATATACATATAATAAAAATATCAGTAGCTTTAGACAGAAGTGACAGGATCCTGGGAGGGAAGCTCGTCTCTGCTTGCGATCGCCTGAGCAGTCGAAGGCAACACCTCGACCCAATCTGGTATGTTGCTCCCATCTCCTCAATCTCCTTCGCAAGGAATACTACCCCACAAGAAGCGTGTTTATGATCATAGCGAGTAGACCAAACTTTCGGAATGGCGACCGCATGCAGCAGTTCCAGTCTTCCTCTGTCGTTTCCCACAGGATAGTTACACTCAGCCCGGGTGACTGGAAGGCTGATAGCTTCAGTCAGCGATCATGGACCAACAGCGGTTATTCTGCTGCCCCGCGATATTGCAGTCGAGTAACCTATTCTGTGGGATTGCATGTGCCACCGCGTCGAATTCGTTGGAAGATGGGATAAAGATGAGCCAGAGCAAACTTGCCGTGCTTCTTCCATCTCACGCGAGATCTGTGTGCACTCGGGCTCGATTCGATGAAAGGATAGACATGGATATCAGGAGACATTGGTTCCTGTTGTCAAACGCGACAGGGCCTGTGGCAAGACTTGGCTTCGGAAGTTCAGGCCTGGGTTGATTTGCCAATATCTGACCTCCGTGTCTGCTATTGTTTGGCATTGTGCGATGCTGCGACCTACATGATCCTAAGCCCAAACCTAAGCTGAAAAAGGAAGAACGCTAAACCTTGCAAGCGCCCATCCCAGCCCTTCAGTACTGTAGGCCTGCCGTACTGGACACAATCGTGTCCTGAAATTAGCTGCCTCTTATCAGCCAGCCGCTTCTCCTCAAGTCTGTGACCTTAGGTAGGCCTCGACAGTCTCGCCGTGTCCGTTCCACAGACTCGGAACTAGGTTGAATTGCACGAATGTGCAGCTTCGGGACAATTCTGTTCAGCTTTCTCAGTTGTAGGAACCTGCACACAGGTCGCCTCGGCGACTCGCCGGAGAGGTGATTAGCAGAGTTCCACTGGATCAGGTCAAGTCTCATGACAAGCAGGGTTCACACTACATTCTCAATATTCTTGCATTGATTACTGATTACTATACCAGGGTGACAAAGGATATTGCGAGACGTCACTCGCAGTTTATAACAGGCCGAGGCCAGCCTCAGAACATGCTTTACTGTATCAATCGGCGACTGGACAACATGGGCCTTCTGGTTTACGAGCCTTTGCGCTTTGCTGCTACTGAATGTAGAAGCATGGCATTGTGCTAGTCAGACCTGCATGCCAAGCTCTCTGTCGCCTCTGCGAGTTTGAGGTTTGCGTCGTCCGATATCACAATCCGCTTTCGTGCAGGAGATTATCCTGAGATTTGGGGAGAGACAGGATGAAGGGTGAAAGAGAGTGAGAGAGGGGTGATTCAATCCCCTGCGCATGGCGGCCGGGTCAGGCTTCCCCTAGCGTTGGAGCCTGCTGTATTTTGTACAACTACGGGGTTTGAGTCCGCGCCCGACATGTGCTGAGCAACGTTCTTGGCACAGCCGGGTAGGTGCGGCATGTACGTTGAAGGGTAAGTCCGGGGTACTTAGCCCAGGTCTTAACCCTCTGTACAGTAAATGGTGCAATGGTGACCGCTCATTTGGTCCGGAGGTCTGGCTCATGCCAAAACAGGGTGGCGGTTGAGGCATCAAGCGAGATGCTGATGTCAGTTATGAAGCAAACACTTTTTTGCCCTTCGACTTCATTGCTACGCTGCTACGAAGAGGACAAGCTTGATTAGTGTCCTTCTCATCGCCGGCTCTTTCTCTCACATCATGATCGTCTTTGCAAGAACCATGACCGCTTCACAAACATTGTCATGACCATGGGTGTCTTGTTCTGAATGGCTATCAGTACCATCGCCTGATTATCATGCGGTTCTTGCTCCCCTCCAACATCGCATCATCGGCGGTGTCTTACATTGTTTGTCGGCGGCTGAGTCGTCACTTACGATTGAAAGTAGGTGTGGTTGTTGCTGGTATGCTACCGCTTTTGCTCTTACTTGTTCATTGGTATTGTGCGTCTTCATGTGTCGGGTCGTTGTTATTCATGCACTCGTTCTTGTCATTTCTGCTGTTGCAGCTCGTGTTGTTGATGATCTTTGGTGGTGGCAGTGGGCCAGTGAGATGTGCACTAGCTGCTTAGCTAGCCGTCAATGATACCCCATTGTCAACCTATGGCAGCACTTGATGCTTCTCTCAGCCGAGCACAGTGCCTCTTGCCGTTCCTGCCGATGACGGGTACAGCATTATGTCTCCCGCAGTCCTTCAGGGTCCAAGCACTGTGAGGTTTGCTGCAAGTATTCACCACCCCATGGACTCATAGCGTGTGTTACCAGCAGCCTTGTGCCGGAGGCAGAGATAACGAGGGGAACAGGGAACCTAGTCTGGTAGGGGCTTACAAAACAGCAGACCAGTGAACAACAAGGACATTGTCTCATTTTCCCCAAACATAAAGAGACATGGAGGTGATTTCGTTTTGTAAGCGGAGCAGGATGGGTTCAGCTATAATTCGTTCGAGGATCATAGGAGCTCTTGTATCCGCCGAGCCGCAAACTTCAAGAGAACAAAGAACAGTTTTTCGTGGCAGCAAGAAGTCCGTGTTTCTCAGCATCAGCTGTTCCACCGTGAACAATGAAGGAAATAGCTCGGCATACGGCCCTTTCTGACCACATGTGCCAAGACAGTTTCGGCAACGAACCGGCTGGTTGATAGATTGTGGACACGTTCTTTAGTGCCACTGACAAGGGATAAAAGGAGCATTCCTTGTCAGTGGCACTAAACAGCTCTTCTATGTGGGATTCGAATATAAAGCTTTCTGCTACACTGTGCATCCGTATGTGTACATATGTATATATATATATATATACAGGTCTATATAAGAATATATCTATATATGCATCTTTATTTTTTTACGTACATACATACATACATACATCCACGAAGGCGCCCACACACAATACACATGCACCAGCATGCTACAGTCCAGGCGCTAGAGTTGCAACGCAACATGGAGGTAGAAAGTCCGATCCTTTGTCGGGGAAAGGTTTGCGCAATTAGCCGCGTGTGAAACAAGTTTAATCATGACTGGTCCGAGCGCGGCCTCGGTTTAAACCTTTGGCGTGTAAACATCGTTGAAAGAAGACCCCCGCCACAGCCCTGCCTTCCCAACTCTTTTGTGCTTGTGGTTGGGGGTACCAGTGTTCCAAATGCTTCCTTCTGCACAGATAAGATAAGCAGCAGTGAGTGAACGTAGAGAGAGTGGGAGGGAGAGGGAGAGCGAGAGAGAGAGAGAGAGATCGCACGCAACCGGATTGCCGCCAACCCAATAGAACCATATGTTGGCGGGCGGGCCTAAATGCCCGAGCGCTGCAGAGAGCCCCCAAACCCGAAGTATTAGCACGCGGAAAATGCGCAAGCTAGAGGGATTCCTCACAATGTAGCCTTGCAAGGAGATTCTGCATGTATTGTTTATGCTGAAACTTCTACCTGATGCTTGGGCCCCCGTGACATTTCGACGGAGACCGGGGAAGGCGTGCACGGAGTTCAAACGAGCTTGCGCGTTCGACAGGTGGGTTTGCTTTGGGGCCAGGGTGAAGGCAGCTGTCTTGACTCAATGTTGAAGTTCCGAATAAAGTGAGACCGACATAGTTGCTGATGTGACAGTTGGTTTCTTTCTGAGTTGGCTTGAAGGCTCTCAACTCATCGTTTCCAACATAGCCCCTCGCCATTGTATTCCTCGGAAAAGCATTGGGTCAAGATCTGAGCTGCAAAATTGCATGTTCCCGACGTGAGGTCGGCCGTGTTGGACGGTGTTTCAGAGACCTGCTGTAAAAAGACAGCAGCCGAAGATCTCGTGGGGACTTGGATAGCCAGTCAGCGACAAATTGACGCCAATACTTTGCAACCGTCCTGAGATGAAAGCCTGATGACATGGGACGTCGGCTCTGCCCGTGTTCTGGTTGAGGCGTTTGGTGTGTCCCAGGTCACCGACTGTCTGTCAGAGTAGTTCCCATTGTCTTTTTATATCTCTCTTTCCCATTCTCTCGGATTTTCGAAGACATCAAGACTCAAGCATGGGTTTTCATGCAGGGGTGCTGTCTCCTAGTTCTCGACTCAAGCCCTGCAGTAAGCTCAGCCCTGGAACTCCGAATTGAATCTGCAGCAAAGCTGAAGTACAGTATCCCTGCA